ACCCTAAACCCTAAACCCTGATGCCGAACAGCAAACGCCACGACTCCTCAGGCGAAGCTGGCTCGGGGCCTAGGGTTTTAGATGGGTTTATGTTCAGGGTGTGGGCTTAGGTGTTAGATGGGCTTAGGGTTTAGGGTGCAGCGCTTAGGAAGTAGGGTTCAGGGTGTAGGATGCCTTTCAGGAAGCCGAGCTCTGATTTTCTTTCCAAGAACTTCCGAGACTCCTAGTCAAACACCATTCCAAAAGAACCCCTGCTGACAGAAGGCGTCTACTGCATGTATAAGATGGGCACCTTAATAACAATAAGTAGAATAGGGTTTTGGAGTATGCTATACTGTAGTTCTCGTAAGGAAGCCTCCAAATAGCCTTGGTAATTATTTGGGCCCCTATACTATGGTACTCCCTAGGTTCTTTGCTCCAGTTCTTCAAGGGCCATAAATTTAAGAGAAATCCCATCATGTATGGCCCCCAAACCCTAAACCCATAACCCTGAACCCCTAAACCCAAAGCCCAAGAGGGTTTAGGGCTTCGGGTTTAGACTTCCCACCCCTGCACGCACCTCGACGAGGGTCTCGTGGACCAGCGTCAGAGGCACTTCCTCTACTCGCTCGCGCACCTGCGATTTTTTGAACTCAATCAGAGCCTGGTGAGTGTTTGGCTTTGGGGTTTCGGGATTTAGGGGTTGCAGGTTTTAGGGTTGAGGGGTTTAGGATTTCGGGGTTTAGGGGGGTTCAGGGGTTTATATAGGGTGTGAGGTTTAGGCTCTATAGGTTGAGTTTAGGGGCTTCGGGATTTCGGGTTAGGAAAATGGTGCTAGGGGTTTTGGGGTTTAGGGTTCCCTAGGATTCCGAAGTCTGGTTCCGGTATAGTATACCCGAAGACCCTTGTGTCAGGTTTGACTACGGTTCTATTGGATTTTATGTAAGGCCTCTTCGGCTTCTTAAACCAAGCCTCCTTATTTTACACATCTTGTAGCAAGGGACCAACTTTGAAGCTCTCATATCTGGAGGTTCCCAACACAGTTTGACCTCTCTGTATAAATGTAGGGGCCTTATATAATATTTAGAATAGGGTTAGGGGTCCATTATACTACAATTATAATAAGTAAGCCCCCAAAATACTATAGGTAAGTATTTCGGCCCCCATAGTACCCAACAGGTCCTAACATCTATGGAAGAAACTGGGACCTGGGCAGTTCTCTAAGCTAGGGTCCCGTTTAGGATCCTTTTCGTAAGGGTGCCGTGCTATGTTTGGAACCTAGAAAGGGACCCCAATTAAGGGAACTACCGACTTTGGAGATGTCAAGAGGCCCCGCGGGCTTTCCATTGTATTTAGGGTTTAGGGTTTAGAGTTTAGGATTTAGGGTTTAGAGTTTAGGATTTAGGGTTTAGGGTTTAGAGTTTAGGATTTAGGGTTTAGGGTTTAGGGTTAGATACGAAAGATAAGCACATCAGGTTTGTCGCCCGGTAGGGACCGGTTGCTAGATAGATGACGAGCTGGTAGAGGATAATATAAGGGGCTAAAACTAAACAGTTCCCAAAACTATATTAGATTACTATCTATAATCATAATCATCGTAGAATGAGTATACCCAAAACCCCAAGCTCTAAACCTCAAGCCCAAAGCCCTGAAGCCTAACCTTCTCAAAACCCCATGCAGCCGGCCGATGAGAGCTGGTGGGGGAGGGGGGTTTAGGGTTGAGGGTTTAGGGGTTGAGGGTTTAAGGGTTTAGGGTTTAGGTTTAGGGTTTAGGGCTTAATGGTTTAGGGTTTAGTTTAGCTTTTGGGATTTAAGGTTAGGGTTTAGGATCTATACTGCAACGTGAACTCTACCGCCTGAGCAAGTGCAAGGATGGGAATGCACGAGGGTGCAGATGTCGCAGGCTGAAACAGCCCTCCGATGCGCAATCTCAGCAAGCATGGTGTGCTGATGTTCATGACAGCTTTGTCAGCTGCACTTCGACTCCAAAGGCACGAAAGTTTTCGTGCGCACGCCGAGTTTCTCGAAGTCAAAAGGTCCGTTGCTGACCTTGGCTTCAAGTTTCGTCCTTTCAAGTCCAACTCCAGGACCTTGTTCGCTTCATGCAATGTGCCGATGGTTGCAGCTTTAATCGAGCTCTGGAGCTTTCAGGGCTGGAAATTCCCCTATGGGTGGCGGGCCCTTTTTGTTTTACGCCTGCCCTAAACGGTGGGATCCTTGTTGTCTTTAAGCGCTCTGTGGCGTTCATACCCTAAACTACACCCGAATACAAACCCCTCAGTAACACCCAATAGCACCTCTTAAACTCCAAACATCCTCCAAAAAACGTAGAGACTATAAACTTAAAGCCCCCTACACTTCCCTGGCTCGCAGTCAGACTGCCCGAACCCGAACATGTCTGATGTATCGAACTTGCAGCCTGAACCCTCAATCCCTCAACCCTAAACACATACAGTACCTTTCTAGATCCCTGACAGTTACTTACTTCCCCAACAGGCCAGGGAAATAAAAGGTTAAACTTTCAGATTACTACTAAACTATAAGAGCCCCAAAAAATTGAAAGGTTGGGTATTGGGGAACTAACCCTAAACCCTGAACCCTATAAACCCTAGGGTGTTGGGTATTGGGGGAACCAAGGACAGGAACCTTCAAACGAACCCTCGCCTCGATGCGCGGAACGTCCACATGCTTCTCCACCACCTCCCGTCGGCTCAGGATGGCTAGGCTTAGGGTTTAGGCTTTAGGGTTTAGGCTTTAGGCTTTAGGCTTTGGCTTTAGGGTTTAGGGTTTAGGCCTTAGGGGTTTAGGCTTTAGGGTTTAGGGTTTAGGGTTTAGGGTTCAAGGGCTGCTACAAGGGTTCCTTAAAGGATCAAGGCACTTAGTAAGTAGGGTTATAAGTACCCTAATTAGGGTTTTAAGTAGACATAACCATAGTTACCTTGCTTATAGCCCTACTTACTAAATCCCATGACCCCCCAAGTAGGGCTACTACAAGGGCTTCCTTTAAAAGGGTTGCTATAGGGGTCGTTGCATAATTTCCTGCATGCAGAAAGTTTTAGGGTTTAAGGTTTCGGGCAGGGATGATTCGAACCGAAATTCCGTAGGACCTTATTTAAGAAGACTCTCTTATAGGGTCCTTCATGGTTTAAGACGCCCATCAGAGTGTTCGAGGGGTCCGGTCTGTCTTAAGTTTTGAACAAAAAATCAATAGCAATAGACGAAAAGAACAAGAAGGCGAATGACGATGACAGGCAGAGGGGTTTGTGGCAGCAGTACCATAACTGTACTTGTCGCAGGCAGTAGCTGTAGCGGTACAGAGTAGTAGTAGTAGTAGTAGTAGTAGTAGTAGTAGCAGCAGCAGTAGTAGTAGTAGTAGTAGTAGCAGTAGCAGTAGCAGTCGCAGTCGCAGTGGCAGTAGCAGTAGCAGTAGCAGTAGCAGTAGCAGCAAAAGCAGCACGTTACTTTTCGTATTCGTGCATGTAGGGCTTTAGGTTTAGGGCTAAGGGTCTGCTGCAGGCAGAAAGGCGCTAAGCAGGCAGGGAACGATAAGTAGAGCTACCTGGGTAGCTTTAGCAGGGTACCTAAAGCTGCGCTCGCAACCTGCAACAGCCAGCTTCTCGTGGTGGGCTTTAAAGTGTGGCGTAGGGCATCGTGCTTTCATGCTTTGGGAATAGAGGTTAGGGTTCAGGATGACGAGTTAATCCAAGCCATTGGACCCTGCTACTCCCTGGAAAGCTCCGCACGACCATAACTTTCAAATCGAGATGTGTAGTTCTTTAAGTTAGCGTTTTTTTGAGGATCATTTTTGTATGGGTGCTGTACTATATTGGGGACCCACAAAGGGACCCTCATGTCGAGAACTACCCACATGCTCCATTCCTGAAGGTCCACCACCGTGAGCCTCTTGTCCAATTTCCTAGAGCAACGAAAAGTTAGCCTGTTGGGATTATGCAGGGTCTGCACTACCCCAGAACAAGGCTAGGGTTTACTATCTCGACTACTTGTACTAAGTTCGGGATTCAGGTTGACCGTTTGGCCCATCTGCCAAGCTTAACCCTAAACCCTAAAACTTAAACCCTAAACCCTAAACTCCAAACCCTAAAGCTTAAACCCTAAAATCTAAACCCTAAACCCTAAACCCTAAACCCTAAACTCTAAACCCTAAACCTTAAACCCTAAATCTAGACCTTAAACCCTAAACCCTTCAAGATCCACGAAGGAAGCCCCAAGCACACCGCTGCCCAGAGCGACCTCCACCTGCGGCTGCTCCCGGAGGATGGTGTGATACTCCACCTCCCCAGGAGGCTTCGTCGCACGGGTCTTGCTTCGGAGTCCCAAATTAAGAGGGATCCTAGTGTTTCCAAAAAAAATCTCAAAGATGCACGCGCAACCATTCCGAACTTGGCCTTCTTGCGCTCCACGTGCTTGACGACTTCTGCCTCGGCAAAAGAAAAGGTTCGGGTTTTCGGGACTTTAATGATGCAAAAAAGCTTTTTTTATGGTGTGTATCAGTGGGGCTTACCTGGACCCCAAGAGAATGTAGAATAATAGCGGCTTTGGGCCATTATCTTACTACTTTTGGGGCTTTTGGTATAGGTTTAGGATTTTAGGGCGCAGGGTTAGTACGTGGGGTTTAGCTTTCGAGCTCTTCCGAGATTAGTTCATGCATGCGTACCTGCTGTAAACACTACCGCAATCGTAACAGAGAGAGAGAGAGAGAGAGCGAGAGGGAGAGAGAGAGAGACAGAGCAAGCGAGAGACAGAGGAGTAGGGAGTTCTGCGATGTATGTGCTAGAAGTGGCAAAGTAAGGGTGGGATTGAAAAGCGACCGTGCAGTGCTTTTGCGGGGCCTTGTGCCATAAACAGCATGCAATGCCTATGCGTGGGGTGAGTAGCCTTATAACCCGAAACACCGAAACACCGAAACTCTGAACTCCAATGCAGAGGCTGCTATACAAGACATCTTGGGTTCCCCCGTAACCGAACTAAACTCTAAACTGTAATAACAAAAGAAAAAAACCAAACCAAGTGTGTACATCCTATAATATGAAGACTTCTCCCAACCGGTTGTGCTGAAATCCCTCCATGGTCCTAAATCCTGAACTTCGCTGCCTCAAGCCGGTGCATCACGACTTTGCGAGCTCTGCTAAAACGCCCAGGAGGCGAGGCTGTCAAATCCTATATTGACCCAAAACCCTAGACCCTAAACCCTAAGTTTCCCTAAATCCTATATTACCCTAAACCCTAAACCCTAAGTTTCCCTAAATCCTATATTACCCTAAACCCTAAACCCTAAGTTTCCCTAAATCCTATATTACCCTAGACCCCAAACCCTAAGTTTCCCTAAATCCTATATTATCTTAAGCCCTAAACCCTAAGTTTACCTAAATCCTCTATTACCCCAAACCCTAAGTTTCCCTGAATCCTACATTACCCGCACGCAACCGTAAGGAAACCACAGAAGACCCGGCAAGCACGAAGCCTTGAGCCCCAGACACACCCAAGACTGCTGCATCCCTGATGTTTGGGTTTAGGGTTTTAGAGTTTTAGGGTTTAGGGTTTAGGGCTTTGGGTTTAGGGTTTAGGGTCATGAGGGTTTAGGGTTCAGGGTCTTGGGCTTAGGGTTTAGGGTGAAGATGCCGCAAAGCAATCTATAGAAGTCCACCAGCAATCTGAAAAGTCTCTGAAAATCCCACCAAAATTCGGCAAAATCAAAAAACCATCGAATACAGACCCTCTCACACCCCATTTACATGTAGTAAACCCTAAAGCCTAAAGCCTGAAACCCATTCCCTAACCCCTCAATCCTAAACCCTCTAAGTGTTATAAGCCCCTTATATATCACAGATCCCGCAAAGGAACCCTAAACAAAACCCAGAGACCTCATCAAATCCTCAGACACCTCCGTTCGATCCAGAAAGCACCAGCAAACCCACTGTCTGAGACAGCCCTGTTCTATAAAACCCAAAACGCGTATTACTTCGCCCTGACTATAACTGAACCCTGTTCCCGCATTGAATCTATAATTCTACAGTAGAAGTACTGTGGCAGAATCACATGGGAGTTAGCCCCCCGCTTTGTAACAGGATGAGAAACCCTTGCTGTAGAGGTCGGAGTAAGTCGGAGTAAGTACTACCAGTCCTAGGGTAGATCACCGTCGTTCCTCCCGCTTTCTCTGTCGCTCAGGTCTGCATCGTGCCGTGTCCATGTTGCCAACAAATCCATTGGACAGTGCATCCTTGCCCAGACCATGATTGGCCACTGCATCCATACCCAAACCATTTATCAACAAATGTTTCCGCGCAGAAGCACAGTTTGTTTTTTGTGTTTTGCAGTTTTTGCTGCGCATATCATCATAACGGTAACGCCATGTTGAACAATGCTAACATGCGAAAAAGTATCGGCCCTGCCATGCATTTCCAACATTGTTCGAAGCTGGAGTGAAATTACACCGGGTAAAGAACCTGGCCTAAGCCTCCTTCCCGTCCTGCCGGTGCCCCTGTCAAAATCAAGAAAACTGGCAGCGGAGAAACATCGAGTTGTTTTTTTGTGCGTTTGTTGCTGTGCATATCATCATAACGGGGACGCCGTGTTCAACAATGCTAACATGCGAAACGACGGCGATCCACTTCAGAAATAGTACTCCCAGCTGCAATATATCCAACAAGTCAAACGTTCAAGCCCCAATAAGCCTTATTGTAATCAGATAACAAATGCAGCCATTCATGACAGGCCCCTAGATTCCCTGCCAAGTGCAGCTTTGCTGCAGGGCCCATTGAGGATCGACCCGAGCGGCTCGTGACTACAGGTGACCTGAGATGAGGGCTTTGGGTTTAAGGCCTAGGGTCTCAAGCCTAGGGTAAAAGGTTTAGGGTTTATAGGGTGCAAGGCATTCAGAGGCTTTATGGTATATGAGGTATAGGGCCTACAGGGTATAGGTTTAGGGGTTAGAGATGTTTAGGGCTCAGGGCTCAGGGCTTAAACGGTTCAGGCTTTCAGTCGGGGGTTGTTGCTTGAGTTCGAGGCCTCCTCGACACGGATTGGGGCTTCTGCAGCCTTGAAGGAGTTTGGGGGTTCAGCTTAGCGCTCGAGGCCTCCTCGACACGGATTGGGGCTTCTGCAGCCTTGAAGGAGTTTGGGGGTTCAGCTTAGCGTTCTAGAACTTCAGGTGTTGAGTTGGGGGTGAAGACTGACTGTTTGGGAAAAGATGTGTGTGTGTGTGTGTGTGTGTGAACCTCCCTAGCACATGGGGCCAGAGGGTCACTCCTACACAGTTTCATGGGGTTGCAGGGGGGCGGAGGGAGTGTGGGGGTGCTCCGCCCAACGAAGCTGCC